TTCTAGTAGTTTAGAGATTTTGATATTTTTTGTAAAATTCAAAAAGAATAATTAAATAAATGTTAATACACCCAAAAGTTGTTTTCAGTGTGGGTTACTCCTATTGACGGTCATGGTTCTGTCACAATACTTCCCTTGGTGGATAAGAGGCATAACAGCAGCAGGTTGACATTCTGCTTCAGATTCACATTCAGATTCAGATTGTCTTTATTGTCATTCAAACATCAGGGATGCACTGTAGAACAAAATTATGATGCATATTAGCACACGACATAAACAGCTTGATGAACTATAAAGTAATGTAAAGTCAAAAATGCTAAATTAAACAAAGTCAAGTATGTTAGGCATATAAAAACAAAACAGAAAAATATAATAGCAAAAATAAAATAAAGTAGAAATAGAGTGAGGTAGAATCCAGATCAAGATCGAGGTTTGAGGTGGTATAAATAGAAAGATATATAAAAAAGGTGCATACATTTGCATTTGTGCAATATATAACAGTATGCTTCAGTTCTTTCATAAATCACCCCAAGATGGGTTGGAGACATCTCAGTTCCAGTATGAAATGTTCTGTGTAGGAAASTAGTTGACACATTTAGGAARCTTTTTACCTCAKTTGTGTAACCGTCAACACAACRGCCACAAAAACAACAACACTGATTWAAGAGGTTTCAGRATTTAGTGTWTGCTATCAACTTYCAAATATTTGAATGTTATTTTAGTTGTCTGATTCCAACACAGACAAGATTAACTTAAGCAAAGCTGGGTTTGTTAATTCACACCAACCAGCCTTTAAAAAGTGCAGTAATAACTGATTTTTTCWAATCTAAATCTTGTTAAATGGAACACTACCAGCCAAAGTTAAAAAAATAAATAAATAAATAATTGGACTCAGTTCATCAAAATTCCTCAGTTGGTTCTCTCAGAAACTGCCTGGACCTGTAAAGACCTCTGCTTTTTACACTTGGCTGATTTAGCCGCAGTAAGCCCTGCGGTTGTTTGGGGTTATGTTACTGATCAGGCAGCAAAGAACCCAACAGAGAAGAAGTGAGCGGCTTTGAATTAAATGCATTTGTACGTTGGAAGCATTATTTGGAATAGTAAGGCGTGTAAAAACCTGAAGAGGAGAGATTTAAAAAAAAGGCGAAACTGGAGAGGGGAATTAAAAAAAGACAGGAATTTTCTATTGCAAGAAACACACAATCACAGCCAGACGCTCAGAGCTGCCAACTAAACCAGAGCGGCTTTGATTGTGTCTTATTACTCCATGGTTTAATATGTTGGTTCTTTACTAAAAGAACATTTGTTCTGACCCACAATCAATCACCAAACAAATTGTTGATTCACATGTATTCTGCTGAATAAAATATAGGTCAGATTTCATAATAGTATCATGGACAAAACCCAAAAACCTGATTTTACATTACCTTAAAGGCACAGTGTGTAGGATTTTGTCAATTCTTTTAGCCGAAATTGAGATAATCATTAATGACAGTAATAATAAAAAACATGTCTAATCATTGCAGACAAAGACCTTGTTTTATTATTTTTACCTCATAAAAAGCTGTCTATATCTCCATGGTCGCGGACCGAGACTACAAGCAGCTGCCATCTTGCACCGCCATCTTGTCTACGAAGGCTCATGAAGGACAAACTGCGGTGGCGATGTCAAAAACAGTTTTAGTTGTAATACTATAAATGTAATATTTATTGTCTGTCATTGTAGCTGGGATAATTTTACTTATTAAAGCTCATAATCTTACCACTTGAAACATCACTAGCCCTGAAGCTGCTGGTAGACATCGCGGTTGGAATTATCAAAGGTTTTTGACACCTGAGAGACACCATAGCAACTCCTTTGCGTTTGGAAGCGGGGGTGGGGGTGGGGGGAGGACCAGGGAGGATGATTCAACCACTCAACCACTAGATGWCGCTGAAAACAACAAATCCTACACACTGTGMCTTTAATATTCACAATATTCAGCATWATGTCATATGTTTCTTTAGTCTATTGTATGTATACTACTTAGGTACCATTATGAGAATTCTGTGTATGTTGTACATTAATATATGCAGCCTGGATGAATCCTACAAAGCTGTCGTGAGTGGATTTAGTCATTTTTTGACAGCTAATCTTCATCTGACAGAGATGGCAACCAACAGGAACTATAGAACCCTGTTGAGGTGGTTRGAACAGGAGCTGCAGAAGAGCTGAGAATGAATGGATTGGACACGTTCCAGGGACAAGGCTGTCATACAGCAGGTGGTTTATACTAAAGTCAGTCAGCTGATCGTAGAAGAGCAGCTCAGGATGGGTAATCAGCATCTGGAACCGAAAGCGGGGCCAACAGTTTCCAGACGTAAGTGAATGAAACAGAGTTCAAGGACTGGAGGCTGGAGCTCCTTGGCAGCGAGCAGAAGCAGAGGTCTGGAAGTCGTTACAGAGCAGAAGGAAAAACCCCAGAGTAAGAGAGAGGGGGAAAGGGTTTCAMTGTAATTGCAAAGAAAAAAACAAAGTTAGAAAGGCTGGCTGCAGTGTTTCTGGCTGAATGAGGTATGTGTTTTGACTTTGGAGATTTGGAGCTGAGAAACGAGTGTTTTGTCACTGTAAACAAGCTTCGTCATCAGGCAGGGATGTTCACATTGTTGCATGGGTAGAACACTTTTTTTCTGTGAGAAAATGCTTTATTTCCCAGTTTGAGCCTTTGTTATTGGACTTGTCACAAGGTGTGCAGGGTTTACCCCACCTCTGGTCAGACTCCAACCCCTGCAACCCGGTCCAAAAAAATGGGGAGTTGGAAAATAAATGAATGCAAAGGAGTGCAGATCATTCCTATGGGCACTGCATTTGTTTGTTTGTTTGTTTGTTTGTTTGTTTGTTTGTTTGTTTGTTTGTTTGTTTGTTTGTTTGTTTGTTTATTTTCTTGAGCATGCATAAACTTAAATTTCCCAGATGGATTTACGTCACACGTAAACATAAGCTGATTTACAACTTTGACTTCTGGAGTTATTTGTGAATATTTTTACATGCTCAGTTCTCTTCATATAGTCAGTATACAGCGTAATTGGATAAATATAGAAATCTATCCAGGTGTAGATGTCATCAAAGCCCTTGATCCATAAACCAACACRGGATTTCATGAATATTTCTCCATTTTATGTTCTTTGAATGCAGGTAACATAAATACAAAGGAGTTGGTTTATTTACTCTCTCTCTCTCTCTGTCAGTGCAATAATTTAGACTTTCAAATGGCAACTTTTATACATTTTTGCATCTAAATAAACAAAGGATAATACACGCAGCTCAGCTTTAGACTGTAGACAAGTTGAATCAAAATCTGAAAACKTAACTAACACTTATAGAAACAGCATGAAAATTAAGGAAATTTGTGTTTGGTRGACTATTTCTTCATTGTAGCAAAGCAATAAATCTTATCCTGTTAGAAAGCCTRTTAATTTCTCTTTTAAATGTTGCCACATTTGTAAGGAACATGCATTTGTGGGATGAGCAGTAGAGCTGAGTATGTKTCCTGATGCATCTCAGTAATCCAGGTAGAAAAAATCAAAAAGAAAAAATAAGTAGGTCTTCTGGATGGGTTCTTCTTTAGTGAAACRTTTCATCTCTTGTCCAAGAGACTTCTTCAGTCTGATGRGTTTCAGGTGAACTCAGCCTTATAAGCAYTGCCTCCATGGAMAAACAGGTTAGTCAYATGCAAAAGAGGGCCATCRMCTAACAATAGGCTTGATCGGCTCTATTGTTCATAGAGGGTCATGTGTCCCATCACCTGACCCGTGTCGAAGAAGTCTCTTGGAGGAGAGACGAAACGTTTCACTAAAGAAGAACCCATCATGAGGACCTACTTATTTTTTCTTTTTGAGCTGAGTACGCATACAAAAAGGGCCGAATCTTCTCTGCCAAACAGTTTATTTTGCTGTTGCCACTGACTCTTGTTTTAAGTGATTGGCACCCACCCCCCAGGTGCTGCCAATCAGGTGTGCGGTAGTATATTTGTTAGCATTTCTGTTTGAAKAATTTTCTAAAATCTGTTGTTTGGAAGAGTCAAGAGAATCAAAGAAGCAACAATTAAAACTGTTTCCTTTTTTGTGGTTTTCCTTCATGGAGATGGTTTCTTTTGTTGTATTTAATATGTTCATTGTGTGTCTGCAGGTGATAAAGGGGACAAAGGAGACAAAGGCACTCCTGGCAAACCGGGGTTAGAAGGCCCTTCTGGCTACCGAGGACTCACAGGACCTAAAGGCAGCAAAGGCCAGGCAGGTGCCCCTGGAGATGCCTGYAAGATCCCTCACTCTTCCTTTTCTGTGGGGCGTCGCAAGGCCCTGCACAGCGAGGACTACTACCAGGCGCTGATTTTTGACACGGTGTTCGTCAACCTGCTCGAGCACTTCAACATGTTCAAAGGCAAGTTCTACTGCTACGTYCCTGGGATTTACTTCTTCAACGTCAACATCCACACCTGGAACTTCAAGGAGACCTACCTCCACCTGATGCACAACGACAAGGAGCAGGTGATCCTGTACGCTCAGCCCAGCGAGAGGTCYATCATGCAGAGTCAGAGTGTCATGCTGAATCTGGCTCTGAATGATGAAGTCTGGGTCCGGCTGTATAAAAGGGAGCGGGAGAACGCCATTTACAGCGATGACGTGGACGTTTACATCACCTTCAATGGATACCTGGTGGCACCGAGCATCCAGTAAAACGTCTGAGAGTGGGAATTAACTGAAGGTTGGCAGAACAGACATCCAGTTTGGAATATCCCCCCCTGTTTTTTGTTGTTTTTTGCCACTGATAATKTGTGGCAGAAAAATCGCTTTAAATAGGATCCAAGAAATGACTGGTGCTTAGTAAGTATTTCTTTCTTAGAAACAAAGTTTTGTAAAGGAGAGGTGGCCAAAATGGATAAATCCAAATGAACATTACTAAAAGGGAAGGTAGCACTACATTAGTGGCAATAAATAGAAACATTTTTTTTGCACTAGAAATACATTTTTGTACAAAATCATCCTTTATTTTTTTTTTAGAAAAGTGTGCAAGTTTTGGGTGAAGATGATCCCAAAAAATTCCTTTTATCATCATGCTAACTGGCTGATTGAATGCTTTCTAGTCGTTCAGTCTTACACAATAAAACCAAATTAACTGAGCATAAAAAAGCCAAAATATCTCAATAATGATCAAAGGTGTCATGTTTTCCAATGCACACATAAATCAGGGGTTTGACTATTACCGGTAAGTGTCGTGTGTTTTTACGATGCAGGTTACAAACTGCAGAGCAGTTTCTGTAAATAATTGTATATTAACCGTCTTTAAYGGCTTTCAGAATTGATACCACTAACACTCTGTTGGTGCTATAAACAATTTGTAGACATTTTTTTGTCTTTATTATAGTCAAGTCATTATGTGCTCTGTGTCAGCGAACAACAAGGCATGCAATTTAAAAAAAAGTGTTTTTTTAATTTCACTTGACTTAAGTGTTCTGATTTTTTAAAATAAATACATTTTATGTTTCGACTTCAAAGGTTTTCCCACATACTGTATCTATTTTCTTTTCAGCAGCCAGCTTTGTGTTTTGGCTCAGCATGAAGCCTGGTAACGCTGTGAGGAGATTGAAGTTWAAAACTGGCCTTTTTTTCTCCCCTAAAATAAACATACAAAAGCTCATCTCAAACTCCCAGAAACAGCGAATGAGTCTGCAGCTCCATCTGTTTGGCCGTATCTCTCTCATTAGCTGTAACTCCATCCACAGGGAGGCTTTGCTGGAGAGAGAGAGAGAGAGAGAGAGAGAGAAAAAAACACAAACACTGCAGGGTTGTAAACACTTTAAGCTTTCAGAGGAGAACCGTGATGCTCTGCTGGGACACAAAACAGGCAGGGTATCTTCTCTGGTTCCCCGGCTCAGGATGGAGAAAGGCTGTTCCAATGTGTGCAACTCACAAAAGCTGGGAGTTACAGTCAGTTCTGAACGGGTCGAGTTTGACCCAGTTTTGGTTTGCCTAACTTTGTTTTGGTTGGAAAGAGAAAATTGTCACMACTTTAAAAAAAAAATAGGTGCGTCGATTTGCAAATCTGGGCAAAATACATAGGAACAAAACAATTCAAAAGACTAATTAAAACTATTTATTGTGACAGTTGCAAAAGGTTTTTAAAATGTAGTTCTACTATCCAGTATGTGTTGTTGCTTTTTGAATGACCTTTGTTTGGAGAAATAGAGTTTAACACAGAGGACGGTTTCCAGTTCGGTAACCACAGAGTCTTGTCTCTGCTTTAYGTGGATGATGTGGTTCTGTTGGTGTCTTTGGGGCAAGACCTTCAGGGTGCACTGGGGCCATTTGCGTTTGAGTGTGGCAGGTTAGGATGAGAGTCAGTTCCTCTAAATGTGAGGCCATGTATCTTGACCAGGAAAAGGTGGAAGCCCCCTTCGAGTCAGGGGGCTGAAGAAATTTATAGTATTTTCTTACAGGGCGGTCAGGGGTAGCATGGAGCAGGAGATGGATAAATGGATTGGAGCTTTGCTTCAGTCAGTTGTGCTGAACAGAGCCGGCTTTTGGCATAGGCGAACTAGGCGGTCGCCTAGAGCACCATCTGCTGGAGGGGGCACCAAACTGCAGAAGAAAAAAGTAATTATTTGTAATCCCTGGTTGTACCTCTGCTCAGCGCTCCTTTCAATTAGCTTTGTCTTAAAAAACTATTATGAGGTATTACAGGAAAAAACTACTCTACCCATAAAACATCCCCCCCCCCCACCCAATACAGCAATCTCTCTCTCTCATTTGATTGACGTTGCACTGACTCGTCCTGCTTCGACATTCTGACGGGGGAGGGGCTAGTAGTGTGTCTCAGGTAGAGGTTTGTGTTGACAAAATCAATAACAACAAGTCTGTATTTTGTTGTCCCATACATGTCAACCTCTTCGGATGTTTACCTTTATAAAAAGCCTCAAAAATTCGTAAATTTTGGAAAAAATCCACACAACTCGCACGCGGGGGCGGGGGGAGGGGGGGTAAATTTAAGTTTACCATAGTACCTTACACTGTCAAACTTGTTTTTAGGGGTTCAAATTGGGGTGGGTGGGACATAGTTCGGGGGTGGGGGGGGTGGTGTTGCACTTCAACTCGCCTATGGCACAAAAATGGCACTGGTGCTGAAGAAAGAGCTGAGTCAAAAGGTAAAGCTCTCGAATTACTGGGATGGCTATGTTCCAACTCTCACCTCTGGTCATGAGGCATGGCTCATGATCCAAAGAACGAGATCCCAGATRCAAGCGGCGTGAATGAGCTTCCTTCGTACGGTGGCTGTGCTCAGACTTAGAGGTAGGGTGAGGAGTTCTGTCATTCGCAGGTAGTGCGAAATAGAGCTAACCTGCTCCAACAAATCGAAAGGAGTCAGTTGAGGTGGTTTAGTCWTCTGATTTGGATGCCTCCTGGACACCTTTGTTTAGAGATGCTCTGGGCACGTCCAACTGGTAGGAGGCCCCAGGGCAGACYGAGGACTTATGGGAGGGATTGTATCCTCAAAGCTGGAAAATCTCGCTTGGGGAGAGGGATGTCTGTTTCTTTCCTGTGGGTTATCTTCAGAAGGTAAAGATGAGAGTAAAGATGAGCTAATTGCAAATCGGAGCAGAGCTATATGGATTGCTTTTTTGGTCAACTTTTGTTTTTTTTTAAATGGGCCCTTTAAGTGCAAGATATTTTAGAATATCCTTACATTGTTTTATCAGTTAAAATCTCCTTCTCAGTTTTTAAGATGCATTAATTTGTGAGCTTCAGGTCAGCCTGTAAAAAGTCCTCTTTCAGAGCTGATCTCTGTGCATTTGTTTGTCCATGAAGGATCRTTGTGTTGCCGAAAAGTCCATTTGYTCTTCTGCTTCAGTGTGCATACAGATGGCCTCTCATTGTTGATTCTATGCAGAAATCCAAACTAAAACATCGGCTGCAAGCTGCTCTGTCCCCAAGGCATAAAACAGTCTAAACTCGAGCATTTTCACAGCTTTGCTCCACAGATGAGTTCAGGTCTTTCCCTTGTAAAATACTTGCTCKGCACCAAACACAACTTCTATCTCTGAAGCTGAAAACCTCAATTTGATTTGTCTGTCCAGAGTGAATTACCTCTAACAGACAATCATGTGATGCCTTCTAGGCAGATCTCGACTGAACGATTCAATTATTTGCAGGTGCTTTAACTATGAAAACATTGTAATACTGTAAAATTCCAGGCTTCAGACACAGATTCATGAGTAACAGCCTTGTYTAGACAAACTGTCAGTCTTTGTCTTTTAAAGACACTGTATAGTGTATATATATACAGTGGTTTGCAAAAGTATTCATACCCCTTGAACTTTTCCATATTTTGTCACATTACAACCACAAACATAAATAT